AGTTCCTTCCATTTCTTGTTACAGTGTTTGATCTGAGAGACGCTCTTCACTCCTTGATTTTGGTAGGAAAGGAAGTTTCAGTGAGGCAAGGTTGACATTAATGAGCAGGTATGATAGACCTGAAAGGGAAAAAAACATACTGATAAATGGAGCTACTGGGGTAAACAGGAGCTGTGAGAGCAGTTGCTAAAAGGGAAGGACTCTGTTTCAGACAGTGTTTCCTGAGTTTGGATTTTGGTTTGGCTTCATAGCCGCAGCTCACACGAAGGCGGTATGGACAATGTGCCGTAAGGCCACATTTGAATTCTTGTGACACCAGAGCGGCCTTTTTCAGGGAACTGCCTCCCCTTGGACTGCTGTGGGAAGCTGAGCAGGACCCCGGCTCCTGCCTCTGGCTCCTGCAGAGCTTTGCCAGTGCTGGGGGAAAGCTGGCTGGGAGCCTGGCTTCTTGTCAGCTGTGGGATTACAGAGCCTCTGCTTCCGTGGTGGCCAGGGGCCTTTGGATCACAGGCTCTAAGCTCAGCAGAAGCTCTGAGACCCTGCAGGTGGGAAAGGCAGGAATGGGCACTTGCCGAGTTTATTTATAGCACTTGAGACCAACTCACTGAGTTTCTATTTTACCTGATTTACAGGTCTCTATTTTACCTGATTTATTGTTTTCGATTAATGAACAATTAATGAATTCTAGGGAATGGAAGAGCCTCATCAGGTCGATTGGTTTTACTTTCTAGTTGCAGGTCCATGCTGTGTGAGAAATACAGGTTCAAATCCTCAGCATTTCTCTGGTTTTAATAAGTATTCCTTTCTGGACACAAATCTTGCTGCTTGGACATTTGTTTCTATGAGAAGACTTGGTTTTAATGAATTGGCTTTGTTGAAGAGAAGTATCTCATGTCAGAAAATTCCTGTCCAGCTCTAAAAATGTATTTGGAAAAGTACTGTACAAAAACTGAACTGGTAGCTTTATTGCTCACTGTGCATTTGGATTAAATGCTACAAAGTTATCTGGAAAAGTGAAGGCCAGCACTGTATTGCTCTGGCTGAGCTCTCAGTGCTCTGGCTAGAGCTGTGGCCTGGTCCGGGAAAAGGGCAAAGGCAGTAAAGCCAAACAGTGCGGTGAGAGGACTAGGGTTTTGCAGCTGTAATGCAGGTACTGCTTGGCATTTAAAATTAATCTGAAGATAATTGGATGCCATGTTGTTTCAAGGGATGCAACACTGAGTAGAAACTCATGTTTAATATTTAACAGCACTAGAAGTTCTAGCTCCCTATTGATGGAGGGGGGAAGCAGAGAGGAGAAGGAGAGAGGAAGACTTTGTCTCTTCAATGTCATATTACCACACTGTGAAAAATAACACACAGTTACGGTGCCTTGCTGATGGTGCTGGCAGCGCAGGGCAGCCTGCTCCGACAGCCGCGTCCGCGCCGGCACCGCGGGATTTGCTTATGGCTGTTGCAGCCATCGTTTACAATAAATATTGTCTGCCGAGTAGGGTCTCCTTGGTTATATTTCCTATCGTTATACCCAAGCGAAAAACCAAAACCTTTGGATTAAAATCTTCAGATAGAGATTTTTTAAAACCCGTGGAGTGGTTTGTTTGTTCTTGTTCTTTATGTACTCCTCTCTTTGGCTTTCTCTCTTTTTTCTTTTTTTTTTACCCTCTCAGTTCAAATCAAATAGTGGTGGAGCACTGTTTTAACTCTGTACCTACAGATGTGAGCAGTAAAAATTAAAAAGGAGGCAAATCTTAACCAGCAGATCTGGTAGTTTTTCATCTAGCTTCTGAAACATTTGCCTGTGTGGCGAGTTAAGAAGTGGGCTTCAACTGTGAGTGTCCGGAGCAAGAGAGGGCAGGTGCCGGGCGCCCCTTCTCCGTAGCGGGGCTGCCGAGGGAGCTGGGGAGGCGCTGAAGGTCTCGAGTTGCTGAAATGGCTGCTTGTGGTGGTGAGGCCTGCACCTTGCTCTTCCCCGAGAGCCTCTAGGCCAGGACCTGCTGTTGCTTCCCTTCCCCAGACCAGCCTCTTGCATCCTTGCGCATCCTGACTTTACCCCCGCAGGCCCCTCCGTGTGTCCCAGCCTGGAGCCGGGTCGTGTGGAGACCTGGGCAACGTGGAGGGATCCCATGTGCCCCACATCGGGGCGCGCGGCAGCACACGAGCCCTTCTTGGCTGCCCCCTTGGCGTCTGTGATCCCAGGTATCAGGATCAGCAGCAAAGCTTTGCTGCTGTCTGTCCGGCCTTCTCAGGAGAGCTCAGACACAAAGTCCTTCCTTTGAGGAACAGGCGCAGCCCTGGGGCGTTCCTAATGTGTCTGCTTGGCTGGTTTCCAGGCAGGCTGCCTGATCTGAGCGCGGCCTCGGCAGCTGCCTTTGAAAGGATGCGCCCGCACGGAGCCCTCTGCGGAGGAGCTGCAGCCCTCCCTGGGGCCTGGCGCTTCCTTCAGCGGGTCACCCAGCGGCCTGGAGCACCGATCCTCTCCCCGCAGAGTTAAATCCCTCTGGTCAGAGATCTGGCTTTCAGGGATGAAACGGCGCAGACTGGCACTGATGAAGCAGCCAGTCTGAGTGTCACTAGTGAGGGCAGAATCAGGAGGCTGCGCTTCATCTTCTGAAGCAAAATAAAGCCAGATCTGTTTCAGTCTAGGCAGTTGTATATACAGACATAATATCCATATATATATGGATATATATATATGTTATATATATATATATATATCTAATAATATCCAGCACAATATCTTGAAAATAATGAAGCAGTAATTATTAACCTTCATTTCCCAGTGTTTCCATGTCACAGCATTGGTCAAGTTGAAGGCAATATTGTTCTGACTGTTGTTCCCCTTGCTTTTCTGATTGTGTTTTCCTGCTGCTTCTATAGGTGATTAGTAAACTGTAAATTATGACTTTGGTAGTAACTATTTCATTTTTCATTTTGCTGCCCTCATGGGTGGCAAGATGAAGAGGAGGAGTAGTTCAAAAGGGGTTACCATAAGTTGGCTACCATAGTTCTGCGTACCTGTGTGGGTGAAAAGGAAAGCTGCTCTGTGTGTGTTTTGACTTTTTTTTTGCCTCTGCCCTTTGCTGAGGAAAATGATTATGTTACAAGCTATTATTATATTATAAAGTTATATTGCCTTTGCTAGATTTCTCACAGCTGAAGAGCTTGTCTGGGGACCTTTTCTTCTTTTGCTCATTTGCTCATATGAAAAGCAGTGCTCGCCCGGTGGTCGCTAGCACGTAACCCTCTCCGTGTTTAGGCAGACTGTGTTTAGACAGACTCTCTGTGTTTAGTTCACAGTCAGCAAGCCTTGAGAAGGTACATGCACATGTCTACACCATAGGAAAGCAGAAAACAAGAGATCACCCACAGACCTTGAGCCACAGAGATGGTCATAGCTGGAACATAGCTGGAAATATCATCATCATTTCTCAATGGGTCTTGCTTAACTTTGGAAATCTTGCAGCCATGTTTTACGTTTATTTGTCAATTCATGTTTCATTTTGAGATCTCATTATCCCATCTGAATGAGGAACAAAAATGAGTGCTTGTTTTATACCTTATATATGTTTTTTAAGTGTGTGGTTGTTTCCTACATACCTGCTTCTGAAGCTGGGTGTGGGGATCAGTTTTGCTCTTGACTTTGAGGAGGAGCCAGCCCTCAGGTGATAATGTTTCAGCATTAGGGATCGTCAGGGAGATAATGTTTCAACATATCCATACTTCCCCCCCCCCCCCCCCCCCCTCTGGATTATATCTGCAACTGGGAAGAGAAAAGTGAGTGGAGTTCAGTTCTGTGATGTTTGCCTTCTCTGTTAGGTTGAGAGTGACCTTTTTGGTTTTGTTATCCTTGAAGCTTGAGATGTAAAGGAGGTCATTAAGTTGACTGATGCTCTGTCAATATATATGTGTGTGTGTTTTGTTTTTCTTTTATCTTTTCAAAATTTTTATTTATTTATTTTTTGCCAATCCTTCAATTAGTTTACACTCCTTGCCAGTGAAAAAATTATTTTGGGAATATGGTATGGTAAATATTCTCACCAGCAGGTTGAGGGACTCTCAACCCTCTTTGATGTGGTGTCCTCATCTGCACACTTGACAACTGTTCTTTTCTTTAATAAAATGCGTCATCCTAAAATCCATGTGCTCACCGATTAATAACCCACAACCACACTTGAATGCAGGTGTAGTGCCAAAACTGAAGTGCACATTCACTCAAGGATTTTGACGTTCACCATGTACTGTGTTCTCCTTGCTCTTGTAGAGTTTTACAATATTGTAGAATGCATATGGTTATTGGAGAATTTCCATTTCTGTCTGTGCTTGTTTTTCTTGTTTTAAAAACATTGAGGAGGGAAGGGGGCTTTAAAATGAGAAACTCTAGTATTTAGAAGGGATTTTTTTTTGCCAGCAAAGTTTTGTTCATTGTCAAGAACAGGGGTGTATATGTTATACCCATGCTGGTATTCCTGCAATATGCCTTTTAAACCTTGTATGTGTACAACAAATGCCACATATGTATTGAACTCTTCTTGATTTTTGGATTTCTTTGGAGAAATTTGGTTATGAAAAGAGAAGTTAATGTCCAAACGCAAATAAATATCTATCCTCCATTCTTGCTTGTGTCTGCAGTAATGGCTAATGATGCCTTTATCACAGCACTTGGTGCTGACTTTGTGTGTATTCATGCGTTTGCAATATCTGTACTATCCTTTCAGGATATAAAGTAATTATTTTTGATAGGATAGCTATATTTCTAGTGAGATTATGTTATGAAAAATACTGCTAAAGGGGAAAAAATAATTAGCTTGGGAGCTTGTGTGCTTAACGCAAGTTGGATGTTATTCAGAAAGAGGTACAAAGATCTGTAGAGTGTCCACTTCTGTCCTAGTAACACCTTCTCTGTTTTTACCTCCTCTCCTGTGTGATAATGAGAAGTTATGTCATGTAAAATGTCACTGTGCTCTTAAAAGTGGTTTATGAAGTGTTGCATTTTGGTGTAGGTACCTGGAACTGGAAAGCAGTGGCCATCGAAATGAGATCAGGTTGCATTATCGTTCTGGCAGTCATCGCTCCCACACGGAAGTGTTCCCCTATATTTTGGCAGATGATAAGTGGCACAGGCTTTCCATAGCAATCAGTGCCTCTCACTTGATTTTACATGTGGACTGCAATAAGTAAGTAAACAGTGTTGTTTCATATTAAGTCACATTTGGGACATTGTAGCTCTGAGTAAATGAAATAACAACCTGACCTTCTTTATTTTTATTTTTATTTTTATTTTTATTTTTATTTTTATTTTTATTTTTATTTTTATTTTTATTTTTATTTTTATTTTTATTTTTATTTTTTGTTTTGTTTTCCCGTGCCCTTCAACAGGATTTATGAAAGAGTTGTGGAGAAGCCCTTCATGGACTTACCTACAGGTACAACCTTTTGGCTGGGACAGAGGAATAATGCACATGGCTATTTTAAGGTATGCATTCCCTGAAAGTAAAAGGGTGAATTTGGGTAAAATGACTTCGCCTTATTTTTACCCGAGGCAAATACTCTGTGATATGAAGGATCTGCCAACTAAGGCTGATTTGGGTTCAGCTTGGTTAAGTTTAGTCTTGCTGACGAAGAGAGGTAGATAGGATACAAGATGATGCTTGCCATGTTACTTCTGCAGCTGGGAGGATCATCTCTTGGAAGGATTCATCAGAAATAAAGCTGGATTGATGAGAAGAAACTTTCAATTTGTTATAGTAGGTTGAAAACAACTTATATTGTTGAAAACAACAGTATATGCCAACAATATATGCCAACAACAATTTAAACATGGGAAAAGTCGATGGCCAAGTGATACAGTATCATAGGAAATAGATATTCAGGTTATTGTCTGTTTCACAGTTAGATGCATTCCCCCACTCTAAATATTATTTCATTGGTTTCGGTTTCATTATTATCATCTTTCTGTCTGTCTTTCTGTCTTTCATTTTTTGTCTTTTTTTTTTTTTAACATACCAGTGTGGTATCATAACATCTTATGGGGTTTGAAATTAATGACTAGCATCAATGAAGAGAATGCTGCTTTTCTCAGAGGCAAAAAAGAAACTGAACAGGCATTTTGCTTACTGTGTTGGCTCAAATATAGGTATCTATAGCAAGATCCTTGTGCAAAGCAAGATTGCAGTGAATTCTGTTTGGATTGGAGTGTAAGTTTTATGACTCCTGAGTCCATTAGGTAGCATTTGCTGGTCACAGCTACGGTCTGTGGTTTGGCTTTGGGTGTCTCTGGAGCTGCTTTAATGAACAGTGACATCCCCTGGGTACCTTGCAGTGCTGCCCTCCCACTTACCTCCCCCCAGCATCTTTTTACTGGAGTTGCAAAGTGTAGTTGATGTCTGTCACAGAGCCAATCACACTGTAAAATATGACCTGCTAAAACCTTTCTGGGATAAAACATGGTGAGTCCTGCAGCAAATTCTGTGCCTCTGTGCTAAAAGCAGTTTTTAGGTGTTGAAAAACTGTACTCAAATGGCAGTTTATATTCCTGGTAGGTAGAAGGTCTGGAGATCTAGAGAAGCACTTGGAATTGAAAGCTAAAGCCTGAGTTTGCTCTGATTTTTCACTTTAGTGTGTGTTTCCTTTTCTTGTGAAAGACGGAGAGGATGCATGGTAAATGAGTTGCAAAAGCACATGGCTGGCTTAAATAAACAATTGAATGTGAGAACAAAATCAGCAAATATTAGTACATATGGATAAATTGATTTCAGACACACTTCCTCTACCCTGTGTTTATAATTAATCTGTTTTTTAAGATCACTTTTATTTGTCTTCCCAATTCTTGGCTTGATTAAATTCTTCTTTCCCATATCATAGTCACTGCAATTTGGTCACAGATAATTTGGTATAGAAAAATAACTACTCCTGTGGATGATATTTGTTTGTTTCCTTGTTCCTTGGGAAAGATAAAATGAAAGATAAAAACAGAGAGAGCTGTGCCTCAATTGCAAATACAAGTCAGCTTAACAGAACTACAGGAGGGAGTGGATAGTTGTTAAAATAACACTAAAAAATACAAATGTTCTAATTGATTTCTTCAGTGTAATGCATTAAAAGTGGTCTGACCATATCTGAAAATGTTGCCCATGAAAAGGCTATGAGGGAGCCCGAATAGGCTAAATGTCACAGTTCCATATGCACAAAATTTTATGGGCACTGTTGTCTATAGATAGAATGGCCACGAGGCTGCTCTCAATCTGCCTTACTGTTTTGGAGTGCCTGTGTTATAGGCACACAGTGTGGGATGGTTTTCATCTGGTTTTCAGAGGTCCAGGTTCTCAGTTCCTCCTGACAATCAGGCTGCTTTGAGTGCATCTCAAATGCTTGTCTGTATAGGAAGGTACTCAAAATCATTAGTCACTCTGGAAAACATTTTATTTGGCTTTTTCACTTTGGACCTAATCTTTCTCCACTAGAACAGTGTCCCAAGATTATGGACTTATTCACCATGGGATATATTCCTATCTGTGTCATTTTTAGGTGCTTAAATCTGAGAGGGCACTTCTGGCTGCCTCCTTTATGGCTCTGTGTGATGTCTGTAGGTACCTGACAGCCAGGGGTGCTTTGGCATAGGAGCCTGTGCCCAGCCTTTCATGTACGGTCACAAATTCCTGATTAGGGACCCCAGGCAGCCTAAATGTCACAGCTCTCTGTTGTTAGGGAGGATGAGGAGGAATCTGAATGGATAAGCAGCAGAGTCTGGCTTGAATCACAGCTGATGTGTGACAAATGAAGGTCCCTACATAGGGGAGGAGCTTTACCATTAATCAATAGATAAGTGACTTAAATACTTGCCTGTATAATTAGAAAAAGATGTCTGTTAAGCTCTTCAGGAAGGAACTTAGGGAACTTTCAGGAAAGTTCCATCAACATAATAGTTGATGTGAGTTGATGTGAGTGATGTGAACTTCACCACAGAAGAGGGCAGGGAAGCAGGGTGAACACCAGGAGCTAGTAATGAGTGTGCTCTTCAAAAAGCTCTTTGCTCCTGAATTCCAGCCCACTTGCTCTGGGAGGGCCACAGGGATGTCCTCCCTTAGCCCTGTCTGTGTTACTGCTAGCTAGTACCAGCAGCACCTTGTGTGGCGTGGAGAAGTGTCCAGTTGCCCTGAGAATTTGCTTTGTTATCAATGGAAAAGGTAGGCTTGTCACCTCTCCGTGTCCTTTCAGGCACAGCTACTCTTCTCCGTAGGCCACTTAGGCTGCCCAAATCAGGCACCTGAGGTCAAAAATTTGTCTCTTTGGCTTTGTAATAGTGACACTGAATCCTTTGATGGATGAAATGACCTTTTGCATTTAGTCTATATTGTTCTTAGTGTCTTGAAACATTCCCTACATAAGCATGCTAATCAGTTGCTTTCTCCTCTGAGAATCAGTGTGAGATACTGGGAAGGAGTCATGGATGAAAAGGACGTCTGGAACATATATGGTGGGGCAGCTCATTTCTAAATGGCTGTTTGGCCTTTATTTTAAGAGAGTAGCAAAGTGTCTGCTAATTGTATCTGTGTCTAAGGAGGCGGGTAAATTCAGCCTGTAAGCCTGTGAGCTGTTCTGGCTGAAATGGGGCATTTCCAGGTGGCATGTTTAAATTTCATACTGAACTTCCTATTCTCTTAAAGTCTTGCCAACCTGCAGCTCTGCAGCTGTGTAACAGATCTGTAGTTTCCTAGCGTTCCGCTTGCTTTATGAAGGCATCCACACCAAGGTCATAAAGGGTTAGTGTGAATGCTTTTCCCAAGTCGAATTTCTTTAATCTTCGCTTCTATTTGACAGTTGTAGTTTAGTGAAAAATTAGCATGTTATCTAAGTGTTTCAAAGTCACTGGAACTGTTTTTTAAATTACTTTTAAAGGTCATTTTCAAGCTTTCCTGCAGTGGTTAACTAAAAATAATAATGAATTCAAAACAACTAACTCTTGCCACATAATTATATCTTGACATTTAATCTTATGTCTTTTAAAAATGATCCTCTATGTCTATACATGTATATCCATCTGTTTCACTTTCTCTTTATTCTTCTATCACTGCTCTGGGCCCAGATAAGAAGCTGTATATTCATAAATATTATTTTTGTCAGGCAGGTTTTCTGTGTGGGCTTTAGTATTTTGCATGGTGAATGAAAAATATGATTTTGACAGATAAAAAAAAATACATCTTTTTTTTTTTTCCTTCTCTACTTACAGGGTATAATGCAAGATGTGCAATTACTTGTCATGCCTCAAGGATTTATTTCTCAATGCCCAGATCTTAATCGCAGTAAGTCTATTAATTCTTGCACTGTAGAATGAAAGGCCTCTTGCCTAATTTCTGTCCTGCAAGCTTTCTTAAAACCTTGACCTTCTGTGTATTGATTGTAAACATCACCATGATTGAACTTATTGTGCATATATACCTGGATGAATATGTATTTGTAATTCTAGCATGTCCAACTTGTAATGACTTCCACGGACTTGTGCAGAAAATTATGGAGCTGCAGGACATTTTAGCCAAAACATCAGCTAAGGTAAGGTTCACTAGGAGGCATGACATAGGAAAACTGAGGACGCTAAGGCTTAATTGCCTGAATCTTAATTTTAGATGATTTGTATGTTTGTGTGGATGTGCATGTGGGTGTGTGTGCAAAATGCTGTCAGTTCAATACAAGTGGATTGAAGCAGGTTGCTATGCTCACAGTGCTTTTTCAGCAAGATTTATTGGTCCAAGATCTTTCTAAACCTGAGCTGCCAGGGGACCTTTCAAACAAATTATATGCAAGACAGGCAACAGAGAACGATTTCTTCTTTTGGAAGATCATGCTGAAAACATTTATGGCTGTCAGGAAGCATATACAATTTAAAGCATTTCTCACTGTCTGTTCCAAAGATATCGTCAGGAATCAAACTATCTGGTTAATTTAATACACAAATTACAAAAAAAAAAAATAAGTCTTGACTGAATTGGAGGAACAATTGCTAGCCTGCTAGTTTTAGCTTTACCTCCAGTTTTGACTCACTACTCAGATTTACTTCTGTGTAAAACCTGTTCCTGTAAGTTGTTTGTGTTGAGCAAGATTCCTCCTTATGGTCAGTTCACATAAACAAAGATGATCAAGTAGGGGCCATATCAGCTGAATCTTAATCTTTATGCCATGATATTCATGATATTACTAGTGAAAGAAGGAATGCATTCAATCTGTTTTTTTTTCTCTGAATGATCATATAAGCATTTCACATTTGACGACAACCATCTTACTGTCTTTGCAAATCATACATGCATTTTCTTGTTTACACACTTGAAGAGGAGACAGTTCCAACTAAACCCCTCTTTTTGTGAACCATGTATACAGCTGTCCCAAGCTGAGCAGAGGATGAATAAGCTGGATCAGTGCTACTGCGAAAGGACCTGCACAATGAAAGGCCTGACCTACAGAGAATTTGAATCATGGACAGATGGTTGTAAGAACTGCACTTGCATGGTATGGCTGCAGTTGGGGCTGGAGACTGAGCAACCCTAACGTTCACTTTAATTAGAACTTCAGTAGTCCAAATAATGGGAAGACTTCCAGTGTGTACACTGGGTAGAAACAACAAAGTGCTAGGGAATCGTATCCTAAATCCAGAATGCTGTTAACTGATACATTTTCCTATCATTTCAGCAGTGCCAGCATATGTAGCTCTCCCAGGTTTTATGGCTGTGTAGGCAGATGCTATGCAATATATTTTTCTGTCATGTTATTCCCATGCATTGAATTGCAAGCAGTTTCTCTGGATAATTAATTCCCTGGTTCTTTTATCACTACAAACACATCTTTGTTCTTAGCAAATGATTTAACAGATCCCTTGTGTGTGATTTCCATTTAGTTTCCTTTGGTTACATCTCAATAAGTAATAAAGAGTAAAATGTCAGGGTTCTATGCAAGTTCTAATGTATCACACACACACAAAAAGAGGAAAAAAAAGGAAAAAAAGTGAAGCATATGGAGGCCTTCCTAAAGTATCAGGACTCCAGAAGTGGTTGCAACTTTCCTTTCAAATACCACTCCATGGTATTTTAGTTAATGTCCATCCATTTAAAACACATTAATTCCACTTAGATTCATTAAGGGCCTAATCTAAAACTCATCAGAAATTGGTGGAAACGCTTCTATTCCCTGTACTGCACTTAGTTTACTGAGCTTGTCTGTGTGTTACTAAACTATTCTCCTTGTACATAATTTGATCTTGGTCTGTTTCTAGAAGGATATTAACTTTGTTTTTAATGCTTGTAGTTGCGTAGAAAATTTCTTAGTCCATAGTATCAGACCTTGCTGAATGTTACCTAACAAATGCATTCAAAGCATTTTAAATGCATTATATATCTTGTCTCAAACTTTTCTTGCAGCTATGATGCTATTATATTTCAAAAATATACTCTATGTAAAAATTGGAAGGCAGTATTGCTTTATGAGGCTTTTATATTTCATACTAATTTATCATTTTGCTGCTGACTAGCAGGAAATTTTTTATCTGCAAAAATATTTGCCTCTTAAACAAAAACACCAAACACTTAAATCACTGTCTTCTCAAGCGCATCATACACATCTAAAACATTGTGCATGGTGTTTTAAGGGTGTAGTTTCTATTCATGCCACTGTTAAAAGAACCACATTAACATATTTTGGGGGAGGGGTGTTGTTGTCAGGGTTTACTGTACTTAAAACTAGCTTGCATAGGAAGGAAAATCCTCACACCCTTGAGGAAAATCTCCTTTCTTGCTAAATGCAGCTGTCAGTTAAGTGTCTTTTTATTTTTCTCTTCTAGAATGGTACTGTGCAGTGTGAACCTTTGGTTTGCCCCATCTCTGATTGTCCTCTCAATTCTGCCCTGGCCTATGTGGATGGCAAGTGCTGCAAGGAATGTCAGTGTAAGTTTTACTGTGGTTTTCCCTTCTAATGAACGTCCGGAGATCTGTGAAAAATGAACTAAAATCACTAAAAAATAAACCTTTTGGTAAAAATATCCCTGAGAGAACTGGTCAGGGAACGGCATATTTGGACTGGGAAAATCTGTTAGATATTTTGCTAAACTGATAACCAAAATGCTTTCATTTTTCAGTTGAGGCTATTTTGCTTTAGTTCAGTGATTTTTCTGAAATCACATTCCTTATGAAAGATTTCAGCAAAAATGTTAAAAAAGAAAAGAAAGCAAGGAAGAAAGGAGGAAAGAAAGAAAAAAAGGAAGTCTGCAGGCCTGTTCTTATTTATCTTCTAGCGAAATCTGACCTGATGGGTAGAGACTTGAGAGTAAATGTCTTGTGTTTATTTTGATGAGTGTTCCTGCACGTCTAAGTCGAGAAGAATACACTTTCTGTTGCAGCATCAGAAATAGATTCAAATTTGATTCTGCTTCTGTTATTGAGGAAAGAACAAACTTGTACTAGACCCAAGAGGCCAGCGAAAAACAGTCACCTAGAAATGTTCTTTCACTAAAGGTCAGACAGAATTATACAGGAAAGTGAACAAGAGTAATTTCATGTTGTCATTTAAAATAGGTGATTACCTTTCTGATTTCATAGGATTTTGCAGTTGTTGCAAGGAGGGTCAGAGAAGACCAATTTGAAGTTAACTGGTATCTATTTAAATGGATCATATATAGTATTGCAGGTTGGTTATGGATGTGTCACATATGATGGATATTTATTTTAAGATAAGGTGGAAACCATTCTTGAAATTCAATTTGAAATGTGTACACTTAATTCTGTAATAGTTGAGGCTTTTCTGTGGCTTCACCACTGCTATGTAAAACCTCTTACAAAGCAGAGAGCAATACCTAACTGCTTCAAATGACATGTGAGACAGGATTCGGGAGGACAGGTTGTGTTCCATCAGTCTTGTTCCCACAGGAGTTTATTAATAATCACTTGTGTTAGAAGTTATTCCATTTTAGGAAGCCTTATTACTTTGCTGTAGGTTAGTTCAGAGGAAACTGGAATTTGAATGCCCCAGCTGCACAGATCTTGCATGTGGGTTATGTGGCTCAGGGACCTGGTCACTCGGGGATGCACAGAGTTCAGGTCTCCCTTTGAGTCTTTGATGGCTGCAATGCAGTTTGAGGGCTTGATCCTATAGGTTGTGTTTTGTAATCTACTGTATGAGAATTGAGCTGGGGAGACCAGATATTACTGTACAAGTGCTCACATTGTAAAAGACTCCACGCGGAGTTATTTTTATTGGGAATCTTGACAAAGGTCAAGAAACAAATGGGCATATGGACACTGGCCTCATTGCACAGTGCCAGTATTTCACTTCTTGCATCTGTGACACAGCTGTGCTGCATTGCAGCGTGGGGATAATACTCTGAAAACCCCTCTCTGAGGTTCTTAATGCTAGCCAAAGCTTTTTAACTTCCAGTGCTATTCATCTATTGCCACTGCGTAGCTCAATTTATGACTACTTTGCATGCGTGACACTTTCTGACAAACTACCAGAAAAATGAATAGACATAAACTTATTTTCAAAAACTATCTCTAATTTCATCTAATTTAATCTGAAATATGTAGGGAGTTTGCATTTAGTATGTGGCTTTGCTTTTTCCTTCTTTTCTTATGTTTCAAGAGACTGACTCTTTGTAAGGAAAAGGCAGAGCACAAACTGACAAGATAATCACCTTTCAGTGGAAAAGTGTGAAGAGCAAAGTTAGAGGTACTGCAAATTGTGGGACCTTCGTTTATTCTCCTGGTCCTTTTGGTGGAAATGCTGAGTTGTCACAAGTTCATATATATGTGTCAGCTGCATCCTGCCCTCTTGACACCCTGAGTTCATGTCCCGAGCTGATTGCAGGCAGTGACCACAGTTCTTGCTCAAGGGGTCAGATCTGAGTTCCTTCATTTGAGCACTTTCTCAAAATAGCTTTTTTTTAAAAAAATATCTCATTTCTTAGAATAGTGTCAGGGGACGTAGCATCTGACTAGGTCATGCAGACCGGACACAAATGGGACATAAATAGGGGAGTGTTGTCTAAGCAGCCACTCTCCTTAGCATTAGATAATCATAAATGGTGAGGAAAAATAATACGCCCAATATGCTGTGCTTTGAGTTTAGTGTTTGTTGCAGGACAGAACGTGTGTGGTTCTCTCTGCCTCCTTCCTGTCACTTGGGGTCCCTCGCAGCAGATGGGCTGTTTCTGCCAAACTGCCGTGTGAGGAGAGCTGCCAAGGCCCTGGGCGCTGTGGCAGGGCCTGATTTACTGACAGGCAGCGCGAAAGGATAGAAATGTGCTGAGTGGAAGGCACTGGGTGACCAGCGAGCAGGATTCAAAGGTGGATGTGTGGAGTGTGGGTTGGGGGTTTGGGGTGGATGTGTTTTTAACTCGAGGATAGATTCATTTCGCACAGCTTCAGCACAACTAACCTTTTTCCCTAAATGTTTACTTAATGGAAAAACATTTAGTAGGGAATCTTGTAGGAAAAAAAAAAGGGTACTGCATTGATTTTAATCCTTTGTGTGTGCTGAAAGAGAAGAAAGTCAACAACAAACACTCGCCTTCTCCCCAAACCCCCGTGAAAGAAGTACAGTCTTCCGAGACACATAAATAGTCCTATGTATTGAATGCATGTTTCAGCTACAGGCAAGCAGTTCAGCACGGCTCAGGTGAGCTACCAAAGCGTGCCAAGATCGATGGGAGCCTCCTGCAGAGAAAGCAGAGAATTTTCTTTCCTATTCCCAATGCCATTTTAAGCCTACCTGTGAAGGTGTGTGCAAGAGATCATTAACTTTTTCCCTGTGCAGAGGCAAATAAATTGTGTGGTGCTAGGCCCTGATACAAAACAGAGATTAAGCTCTGTATTGATCCTATAAAATATGACTTTCCACCATGGGCTTGGCTTAAAAAGTACAAAGGCAAGTTCGTTTATTTTAAGTGAGTCATGAAAGGACTGCCAATGTCTTAGGAGCTGAAGCAATTGGTACTTGGTCAGCAAATCTTTTTATGGTATCTTATGAGTTAGGATATTAACACTATGGCATCATTTAAGTAGCGGTGTGATGTATGTATTTCTTAAATGAGTCAATGTATTTTTTAACAACCTAGCTGATTTTTATTTTTAGTGCCAGCAGTGGTGACTGTACCTGTGTACCAGTGTCTGACACAGTAATAATTCCTCACCCCAACACTGACTTCCAAGAAGAAATTGTTCTGTTCTCATCCTTGTCCTTTTCCTGCTGACACTGCAGTTACTTACAGACCCAATTTTATTACATTGGGTCTTACAGCTCCAGACTCTTTATGTGTCCCAACCAGTTTCAGTGGAGTTTGAAGTCTGGGCCATCATGTCCAATTACACAGGCTGATTTCTTTTTTTATATGTCTTTTTTTTTTTTTCTCCTGAATTAAACGGACATTTGGTGGGTTTCTGGCACACTGCAATCTCAGCTGCCCTCTGACACAAGTATCTTAAGCAACTGTAAAAACTACAGGACTTTGTTGGGTCAACTCCCACTTCCATTGCTAACAAGTAAGATGTGGGTGCAGGGAGGAGAGAGGTGTGTGCCCGTGCAGGGGGTGTGATTCAGAAAGGTGCTTTAGCAAAACGGTTAAAAACACATATGGACATGGTACCTCTCAGTGGGTGAAGGATGGATTTCTGATTTGGTGATCTGTCTTGATTGCTTGCAGGAAGACTTAATTTTATACGTAAATGGAGAGGATTTCTCCTTTCTTCTTCATAATGCCTCAATTTTTCCTGGAGTTACAGACACTTCTAAACTCCCAACTCTTTTAGCCTACTGACATGGAGAGAAGAACTGTAGAAGTCTGTCTGCTTCTCATTTTCATAGCAGTTGCACATCAGCAATAACACAAAATACTATCTGGAAAGGTAAAGAATGTATATGAAGCTTTCTAGCAAACCAATTAATGTTTGTCCAGGTAGATTTGCAACAGCTGTTGCATTTAATGCAGCACAAGAGAAGAGCCTGCAGTTCAGAGAGAGGTGTTTGAATGAGAGGGTGAGTAAGTTTATACTTGAGCACTGAATTAAGCTCACACACCAAGAGCATCAATACTAAACTCAATGGCTAACAAGGTCTGTTGGACCGAGGGTGCCATTAGCTGTATTTATATGTGACAGTGGAGCTTGCCTCTCTTTGAAAATGGAGGAAGCAATAGAAATGTGAAGAGAACTCCTTAAAAATGATGATGAAGAGAGGCGCGGATCATTTTATCACTTCTTGTGCATTTCTGTGCCCTACAATTTAATAAAAGATTAGTATGGGACCTGAAATAGTCAATCTGTGCTGATTTGATGGAATATTAAATTGCAGAGTGCTGGTAGCTGGGCCTTCACAGAGACACCTCCAGTGAAAGCCTGCACTGACTGCACTAGACAGTACTTCTCGATGCCACTGTTCAATATGGTGATATTTTGTGTGTGGTATCCAAGAAAAATCAATGGCTTTAGTTTGTGCTTCCTAAGAAGCACAAATCTCAGAATAACTCACAGCATTTGTTCTTACTTCTTTCTCTCTGTGTTGCTTTGTGCCAGATGGCAATATTCCTCAAAGAGGATAGGAGCTACTAAGGGATACTGTTTACTAGTCAACTGTCGCTGCATTTACCTGTTACCACTATAAATTCCTGCATCTGAAGTCATAGCTCCTGCCTCAACACATTAGGCTTCTTAACAACATGTACTGTAAGTTACTGGAACATAATCTTGTGGAGGAAAGGTGTCAAACAGCACTGGCCCTGATCATGCTCAGGATTAGAATAAAGAAGGGCCCAAGTCTATTAAAATCAAGGCTTTACTATTGTAGATTTTAGACTAAACTGCTGGACTAGTGAATGAATCAAAGCTGTTAAGAAGCTACATTGAGCCATCTTACTTCAGCAGTTTTAAGTAATACTCATTCATTTATCAAAACTTTT